GTAGTTCAGCTTCAAACTTCTACTGTTGATATTTTATTATCTATTTAAGTTACTTATGGGGCTTCAAAAAAGTTAGTAACTTGTTTTTTAATCAAATTTTGAATTAAATTTTTATTTGGTAAAGGTGTTAAATCTTTTACTGAACAAAAGCTGCTTTATTCTTGTCAAGATAAAAATACATGAAAGTGAGATATATTCGCACTAGAATTATTTTGTAATTTCAATACGCAAATAAAAAAAATTAAATATTATAAACATTTAATTCATTAAGTAATCTTAAACAAAATATCATGTAATAAATATGTCAGACTTTAAAAAGCACAAAATAATATCTGTGCAGAAAGTTTAGGGACTCAATACATTTAAATAGTCAAAGATACAAAGTTTACTTAATCATAAACATAATTATTACATTTTTTATTTCAAAATATGTTTTTGTTTGAATGTAAAACCCCTTAGACGAAGAGGAAATATTTTTTTTAAATGTTTTCCCTAATGTAAATAAAATGGATGAAGGGAATATACCACATAGTAACTTTTTCGATTCAAAGAACAAAGTGCATTTGAGCGTTAAGCAAAATAAAATCTCATACTTTCCTCTAAGCCAAACCCAATATCCAATACAAACAGATAAAAATCAAAGCAATGCTCAAGTAAACAAAAAGGTCAAACCAGCAAAAGAAAGCAATGGTAGGGAGTTAGATTTTCAGGAATTTCTTAAAGGAAGCACAAAGAAAATTTCAAAGTACAAGAAAATTCCGCATTTATTTGCCTTATGAATGCAGTATCCTTTCCGAGTGTAGACGCAAAACACGCCCTGTCTGAGCACATGTAAGACTAAAGTAGCACGCGCTAATTTACCATTTAGTTTTTCTTTTTCTTTCTTTTTTGTTATTTTTTTTTCATATCCTATTTGTGAAAGGATATTTTTTCCGATTTTTTGTTTTGTTTTGCTCGTGAAATTTCATTGCACTCGAAGGAGCGGTCAAATATTGGAAGTACTCGTAGAATTCTAGTAGAGTACGTAGTGTTACAGTAAAATCAAATAAAAAGTTCTGGGTACATGAACTTTTGAGAACAACCTTAAATTCGTATTCACTTCAAAAGAGAAATAAGGATAATCAACAAGAAAAAATAGTACGAAATAAAGTAAAGGATAGTAGTAAAAAATATGTAGAAAAACAGTGTTGCTGTGTTGTGATAAACGATTATTAGTAAAGGCATATTTCAATTTAAAAAAACGTACTAACAACTAAAAGAAAATCTTAATTTGTCTTGTTTTTACTTAAATATTTGAAAGTACTGCTTCTGAAGTAATAATTTATATATATATAAGCTATAAGATATATGTTTTAGACAGGAGTGTAATAAAATAATATTTCATATTTTTTTGTTCCCTACATTTAGTTTTTATATAGACGACTAAGTGAAATTAACCAACTTTGAAATGAAAGCCCTCAAATAGGCTAACGTAAGCTGTGTATTTCTTTTATGAAATATACTCGTAATAGATATTGGTGTGTGGAATAATCAATGACCCAGAATACTCCCATTATAAACTTTCATTATAACATACGATCTGAGGCGAGGCGTCGAATGGTTCAGAGTGTTATACCCAACATTACTTATAATTAATGAAAGAGAAAACACATTCCTCTTAAAATATACTAAGGTTCAGAATAAAAAATGCACAGCGCTGCTTACAAAGCATGCTGCAAATGAAATAACATTCACATTGGGACTGTAACGAACCTTTCTGGCCGGGGTTTTGCTCGCCGGATTCAAGGTTCAGTCCTACAATAAATTTATTTGATAGGAACAGTGGAATACGGTGGATGGTGACGTTGGTACGGTGATATGGTTTGAAGAAATGTGAATTTCTTCTTCATACAATGGATTTGGTATGGGTGCTAATCCTCATGTGGTATTATCACCTTACCGCGTAATTTACTAACGAAAATTTGATTTCGTTATGAACAATAGAGTAATAGAAATTTATATTTCTATTACTATTAACGAAATGTTAATTTCGTTATTAATTATGATTTTTAATAGAAATGTGTATTTCTATTAAAAATAAAAAAAAAATAAAACAAAATAGAAATCGAGATGTAAATTTCGATTCTTGGTGTTTCAGCACATGTAATATAGAGCGACCTGTTCTTAGCTCGCTGTCTTGCTGAATGCCCGTCTACTGCGTTTGCTTCGCCTTTTATACTTGTGATGTGCGAAGCAAGCAGTATCTTTGTTCTTGTGATTTCAACGGTTCGTTGTTTACAAGTTTCTTTCTATTGTTGTTTGTTTTCTTGTTGTTTATTTTGTTTTTATTATATTTGTGTTGTTTGGTATTATTTGTGTAGTAAAATTTAGTTAGTGTAAATTTTATGTTACAGGACTATGTTCAGTATTGAGTAAACACAAAACATACAAACAAATATAAAAATAAAAGAGAAAACAAGCCCCGCAAAATATGTACGTAAAATAATCATAACTCTTAGATTAATACGTGCAAGCGGTTCAATAAAAACAGTGAACCTCCAATGTTATGCAAAGTAAATACAAAAGAGAAAAGAAATGACTGAGCGAAAATCGCTTTACATTTGACGAGAGGTTTAGTCGATTAAACTGAACCCGAAGTTCATACGAAGCGTGCAAATACAATCAAAGTCATGGTTGCTGTTTTATATGGGCAAATGGTTCAGTAAAAAAACTGAACCGCGCATAGTAAATACAAAGTAAAAGAGTAAATGAATGCATGAGAGTTTTTTACTCATATGTAGAGGTTGGAAATAAACCAAAAATAAAGTCATTGCAATTTCATACTAGCAAATGGTAAAAGTAAAGAAAAAAATTAAAGAAATTTGAAGTGAAAAATAATATTTATAAAAAGATAAATATGTGATTAAAGATTTGATTTAAATATGTTTTTTTAAACGATCTTCTGAAAAAAAGATTTTAATTCATAAAATGAATAGACCAACTCCAGGTATGAAGAATTTGATACCTGTTGTAAAAATGTCGAAATTTGTGATAAGTCGTTGTTTTCCTACAGCTACAACTTTATGGTAAATAAAAACCAGTGGACACCTTGCCAAAAAGCTGACGCCTCGCTATCAATATTATAAAAATTACTAATACATTACAATATAATATATACAAAGATCTATTGATTATATATAAATATATATGATATAAAGATTGTATATAAGTACATTATAGTATATAAAATAACATTGTTATTTTTAAAATCTCTGTATTCTGCTATCGAACTTTAATGTCTTATAACTTTCATGTGTCCCAGTAGTGACTACAATAATTAATTGAATATCAATGGAGACTTATATCCCTTAATTTATTTTCGCAATGGAAATATTTTTAACTTATTTAATTTGGTTATCAAAAACCTTAGAACAGTGCTTGATTTTACCATATCAAGCTTTATAACTGATAAAGAACATTTATTCTATATAATTTTGAAAGACTCCTTATATCCCTATACCTTATAAGTTGGGTAGTTTTCTAGTTTTAGTTTTTAATAAAAGTAGTTTATTGTCTAACGAACTTCGTCTAAAAACAAGCAATAAATCGAACTAGAAAATTTAAAGTCTTCAAGTTTCACAAAAGAAATGTGGAAATAAGCTATGAATTGTAATTTTTCTGGTTTGATTGTTTCTTCTTTCTTCACAAAACAAAATAATGTTTGATCAAGGTGCGTTAAGGATAGTTTCAGATACATTTTTATAACACATTTATAATAAACATCGGCATTAAATAGAATAGGAGTTTTCACGAAATACAAAAATGCTAAACTAAATTTGCAAGAGTGTGAAAACACCTCTCTTGCAGAATTGCAATATCAAAATGAAACAGCATACCACATCCACATGCGAAGCAGCAGATGCCAAAACAGCTGTTTTTTCCCTTTTTTGTTTCTCTGCAAGTATATATACATGAATATAGGTATTGCAAGATTGCAAGCAGTTGCAAGAAACTTTGTGCTTGTATTTTGTTGTTGTCTGTTGTGAATTTTCAACTGTGAATTTCGTGCACTTTGCAATGAGTTTGGTATAAGAACCACCTTGAAGCATTTGTAAAGTTTAAAGTTCTATTTAAAGAAAGCGCTTTTAGTTGGGCAAGTTCTTAAAAAAATAGACCCCTAGTATAGGCAACTGATACCACTTTCATCGTCCTCCCCACATCTGCGACAGAAAGTATTAAACTTTCTGATTCAATCTTCTGTTATGGTTTCCTAAACAACTGTTTGCCGTTACCAAACCTACTAAAAAACTGATACCTCATCCGTTTAGTTAAAACTCATTAGAATATTACAAATCTACTACTGTTTTCCTAAATTTTTATTGGAACTGCAAATGTGTAACACAGCAACACTGTTAACGACCCGCTTTCTACTTTACAGTTTTCCTTTGTGCTCAGCGCAGCAAGGATAACAATAACAACACCAACAACAATAACAACAACTACAATGAATACAACAACAATGAGCTAACAAATAACGGTAACAGAAATAATAATAGAGAATATTTTCCGCATTGCTATGCTTGGCAAAAAGTATCTAGATACAACGCAGTGAGGGTTGCGGTCTCGTACTGTGCGCGGCGGTGCTATGAAGTATACAAATTTTTATTAGACGCTGCAATGCGATTTTGACTGCATTTTTTTATAAGCAAAAACAAAAAAAAATAGCTAAACAGAAATAAAAAATGTAGTGTAGTTTTTTTTTATGGAATAAATAAATTTCAATGTGAACTTACAATTAAAATTAAGTGAAAAGTATCTCAAATCAAAAAATTTTACAAAATTTAAGTGCACAATTTGTACGTTCATTGAACGCTTAAGTAAATAAGCAGAGTTCATTACAAAACTAGAGATTAGTTAGT